GCCTCCATGTGCATGTGCAGCCGTCTCCCTGAAAGGAGCGGGAATTAAAGTGCTATCCCCATACGTCCACACGGGACTGCCCCCCCCCCCCCACACACAAACACACACACAACACACACACACACACACACACACACACAAACGGCGGGAAGCGACAGGCTGCGCAGGCAACCCTTGCTTGGCACAGGTGCGCGCCGTACACCACGCCCCCCCCCCTTTCCCCCTTATCCTTTCACTACTTCATTTCGTCGCCAGGCGCTCCGTTTTTAAGGACTCATAAAAGGGACAGCCGGTCACACTTTCCCCAGCAGGCGATCGGCCGGGAGGGCGTTCTGCTGATCTAACGCGCAACTCATTCTGCGGCGAAAGCCGTCTCGTCTCGGCTCTCCGGGCCCTCCGCGGCCAAGCGCCACTACACCGGCAGCAGCGGGCCAGGCAGGGCCTGGCTGGCCTGGCCAGGCCGGGGTCGTGCCCCTGAGGGGCCTGGAGGGGCCACGACCAAAATCAAACTATGGGCCGCACTTGGCCCTGGAGAAAAAACGAATGAGTCCTCCGAACGACGCTCGGATCTGATCCCCCCCCCCCCCGACCCACCGCACATCAATACAGAAGGCGGGAGGCACGCGTGTTGCAGTATGTTCGCCACCGAATCAATGGAGCTTTGGTCCCCGTCTTCGGCGAGGACAAACCTTCGGGTACTACGGGGCGTGGCGGCGCGGCGTGGCGTGGCGTGGCGTGGCGGCGTGGCGTGGCGGCGTGGCGTGGCGGCGTGGCGCGGCGTGGCCCGCCCCGCCCCGCCACGCCACGCTCGGCCGAGCGCAAGTAAAGCGATTCTGCCGAATATCAATCGAAGCGGCGGCGCGCGAGATTCGGAGCGCGAAGCGGCAGCAGCGCCGCGGCGCTTTGCGGTGCCGCCAACGCCACGCCGCGCCCCGCCACGCCACGCAACACAGTGCGGTTATCCATTCACAATAATTAATTTCGTTCGTTTCCGCGGTCGGAGCGCGCCGCGCGGCTCGCCACGGCCCGGCGGTCTGGACTGCCCGCGGCAGAAGGCGACGGCCTGTCCCTCCAAAATGCTGCAGCGTCACTCCGCTTTCCTGCCCGCGGCCTACCGGGGGCCGCACGGCGAGGACGACGACGTGGACGGGGCGTGGGACAAAAACAACAAATCTGCACAGAAAGGAGAAAGACGAGGAAGGAAGTGTAACGAGGAAACAATGCGGGGAAGGTGATGATAGGGCAGCGCGCCGATTTGCTGCAGCCAGTCGTCCAAACTATCCATCATCGGCAGGGCCGGGCCGAGGGCAGGGCCCTGCGCGGGAAACGGTCGCAGGAATTCGAAAGGACTTTGAAAAGGCGCGCCAGAGTGGAAAACAAAAACAAGCAGCGCGGGGCGGGGCGGACGACCAGCATGTCGCCCTGTCGGCCCCCGTGGTCGTCCCGCTGGTCTGGGAATTCAATATCCAGCGAGGCGCCACGGCGTGGCAGTGGCGTGGCAGTGGCGTGGCAGCGGCGTGGACGTGGAGTGCTCGGAGTGCCGCGGCGCGGCGACCGCACCGTGCACTATGCAAAATGGCCGGCGCTTTCTCCGCCACTGCAGGCCTGGACTCCAGGCCGGACTCCAGGCCTCACGTAGCCGGCATCGTAATGAAAACTGGAGCCCTGGATCACATCAGGCGAGACCGCTCGCCGCGACGCCGCGACGTCGCGACAGCCCGAGCCGGGGCGCGCGATGATCGCCTAGTCGGGTCCAAGGCGGTGCTTACTGACGTACTACAGCTCCTGAACCGTCGCGAGGGAGGACGGCGACAGCACCGCCTTGGACCTCCCCGCCGACTCCCGCGCCACCGAGTGCCGCACACTGCAGACCACTGCAGTCGCTGCAGCCCGACAGATGACCGCCATTTCCATACAATGATGGGAGCCGGGGCTTCAAAACGCCGCGGTTTGCGACCTGGGAAGCATCAGCGCCTCGCAGCGACAACACGGACAAAAAGGCGTTTGTCGCCCAGCAGACTGATTCCGAGGATCGTTTTCGTCGCTCTGTCTCTCTCGTACTCATGGGGCGCCCCGTACAGGTGCGAGAGAGACAGAGCGACGAAAACGCCTCTCGGAATCAGTCTGCAGAGCGCCACCGCGGAGGGGGAGGGGAGGGGAGGGGAGGGGAGTCCTGTTAGGCCGCGGCCGGGCGATGAGCCAACCGACCGGCCAGCTAGGCAGCCGACGCGGCCGCCGCCGAAAACACGCCGCAGCCGCTGCGCTACTGCGCTACCTGACGCGGCGACGGCGACGCGGCCCGGACGCCACCGGAGTCAATGCACCTGGCGGTCCTGGCTCTAGTCCTGGCCCGGCGCGCTGCAAGGACGACGGAGGAGAGGATCGAGAGGACCCGCAGGGCCCACAGGCAGGGCCCGCTGTCGCCCAATTTACAGTCACAGACAGACAGGCGGACAGACAGACAGACAGGCAGCGGGGAACTAATTTGATCGCCTGACAGCAGGTGGCTGCATTCAGGGTGACCCGAAGCACGGCGGCGGGCAGCGGACGGACAGTACAGCGGCACCGCGGGTTGCGTAGGCCGAGCGGTGAGCAGGCCCAGCAGGCCCAGCAGGCCGAGCCGAGGCCCGGTCAGCGCGAATAGCGAATCACGCCGGAGTCGCCGTGCGTGACGGGACGGGCCGACGGGACGGGCCGGCGGGCCGAGCCAGCCCAGCACACCACGTGACCGGGCCTCCAGCAGCCTCCAGGAGGAGGGGGTGCACGCCGTGCCCACCGTGCCCCAGCACCAGCCAGCACCAGCCAGCACGCCGGCCGACAACAACCAGTGCAGCGGCAGCGCGGCGGCGTGCGTGCTCCGCGCCTACTCCGTCCACTCGGCCGAGACGGGCCGGTTTAGAATTTCGCCGACGAGCGCGTGGGCGGCGGGGCTGGCCGGGGCACTGGCGGGGCGGGGCGGGGCGGCGACAGCCCGACACCAGAAAACGACAGCGGGGAAAAGGGTGCACAGGCGAGGCGCGGTGTGGGGTGGGGTCGATTGGTCGATTCGTGACTTGGGCCGTGCAATCTGGATTTGGCGATGCACTTCATCTTGTATGCGTCTCGCTGCCTGTCCGACCGTCTCTGTGTGAGAGAGAGAGACAGATTCGGACGGGGGAACCCCCTTCTTCGCCGCGCACTGGTGGCCCGGTGGCCCTGCCTAGCCCTGCCCAGCCCCCGTTCGGCTCGACGGGCACACCGTGAGAAAGACGGAGACAGACACAGAGGGACAGACAGGCGTGCTGCCAATTCATTAGCCTGGTCGTTCCCACACATTCGTCCACCGAAGGCGCAGCCGGCGCAGCGCAGCAGTGTGTGTGCAGTCGACTGTTTACGTTGACGCCTACTGCTGATCGGGAATGCCCGCCCGACCGTTGCCTCCTCCCGAAAAATGCATTCGCTGTTGGCGTTCGAGTGCTAAACGGCAGCGCTAACCACGCAACGCCCTCGCCGCACGGGAGCTTCGGCTTTCGGCTCCAGGTTCCCCCACTGGTTCCCATGCGCAGCGACGCAGCGCAGCGCGCGGAAATGGGAAAGGCACGAGACGGAATACACACCAAAATCTACCTGAGCCTGCCAAGCCTGGCAAGTGATATGAAAAGGCGGGAGTGGAGAGGCGGGGCGGCGGGGCACGGCCTATTGAACATTTTTACTCGAGGGTTTCGGTAATGCGATTGGAAGGCGAGCCCTCGATAAACATGCCAATTAGTGCGGCTGGCGCGCTGGCGCTGCTGGGCTCCGTTTCGCTCATATTTATGGTGGCCATCCCGGCCGGGCAGGCACACTGTGGTGGCCAGGCCACGGCAGGGCAGGCCGACGCCGTGCGCCTCTCCTAGCCATCAAAAGATTAGCCAAGCCGGCGGCCAAATCCCGTCCGGCGGCCCTCGGCTCCCTTGGCACGGCGCTTGGCGCTTGGCTAAGGAGGGGCCCAGGCCGCGCCGGCGCGAACAATACCCCGGCATTCCGCCGAAACTCGGCGGCCACCGCGCCAAGCGCCGCCAAGCGCCAAGGGTGCGCCAAGCCCGTGTCGGACGCAGAGAATCGTCGCTGGCTGCCTCTTTCGCACTCCTGGGGCGTCTCGTGTGGGTACGAGAGAGACAGAGACGGCGCTGGCCGGCCGTCGGCCTGCAACTTCACTTCACCCCGCCTCCAACGAGAGCCTCTGTCCAGCGGTTCAGCGCACGGCACGCCGCCCGCCGATGAAATACTGAAATGCTTTCGCGCCGGTCGGGCGGCGGTCCAGGACCAGGTCCACGAGTACCTGGCGGAGGCGGCGTGCCCGGCGTGCCCGGCCCGGTCCGCGCCCACGCCCCAGGCTGCCCCGGGTCCGGCGACCACCATCTTGTTGCCTACATCTAAGTAAGAAACAAGACGCAAGAAAACGTAACCACCGCTGCCGCCGCCCCGCTCGGACGGACGGACGGACTCGAGAGGCCCAGAAGAAAAACTCGATTAGGAAAAAATAACAAAAGATATAAAACAGTGTGGAGGCAAGTGCACTGCCGGGCCGTCGGACTGGGTCCGGAGAGGGCGGCGTTCCCCTCCCCCCCCCCTCCCGCGCCCCTCCAGGCCCCTCCAGGCCCCTCCGCCTACCTGCCCTGCCCCCTCCTCCTACATCTCACCTGCCTCCTCGGTCCCCAGAACCCCTTCCCTTACCTGGGCTGCTGCCCCCCCCCTCTCCCCCCTCCCCGACCGGGGCCCCGGGCTGCCTCATCCTTTTGTTACACAGTCCACATGATAGAAACGAAAACTCTGAAAAGAAACGCGGCGAGATAAGCCCGACAGACATAATCCACTTTGTAATGGACGCCACGCCCGGAGTGTGAAGTCAGGGAGAGATAAACGCTACCTCCGCAAAAAAAGAAAAACTCTTTCGGAAAAGAGCAACGGCGAAAACGTCCGGCCGTCCGGCCCTCATGTTGGGCCGAGCTGCCGTGCTCGGCGCGAGCTCTGAGGCTCACCTTGTAAGGAAGCGATGATGAGCAGAAGGGCTCCAATGCGCTCCATGGTCGCTGCAGGCCGAGAAGCACTCACAAATTCCACAACGGGTTGCGTTCGCACAGACACAATCACTCGCGTCGGCCCTGGAGGGACAGAGAGGCTCTATCCCAGGCGCTGCTGCACTTCACTTTTATATCCAACCAAAAAAAAGAGATCACTCGAGGAAAACCGACGGTCCTGTCGGTTTCCGCACACGGCACCGCGCACTCGCGATAACTCGAAAACGCACTGAGATAAGGTCCTTATCACAACAACGGGGCTATCAGTTCAGGCAAGCGTCATACTCCACAGGTGTACACTCGCCACGCCGGCAAACTGTCCGCAGCGCGCACGGTCCGCGTACCACAGGGCTTCGAACAAGACTGCCGTTGGCGCCGCGCCGCCGGTCCCATTCGACTCGGCTCGGCTGCCTTCGGGTGGCTTCGGCCGCCGCTCGGCCGCTCGGCTCGGCGCTGTTGCGGCCGGCTGCCGCTGCGAGCGCGCCACGGGTCGGGCCCGTTTGACGCTCTGCCCGCGCTGCCCGCCCCGGTCTCCCGCCAAAACGCTCTCAATGCCCCATTCGCCGAAACTGCTGCGTCTTTCGAAATAAAACGACGCCGACACGGCTTGCGCGCCGCTGCCTGGCCGCTCTGCCTGGCCGCCGCCCTCGAGGGTGAGCCAAGCCACTGGACGAATCGGAGCTGCTCACGGGGAAGACCCCGCTGCGACCTGCTTCGTGTTGCGCCATCCGAGACACAGCAGACTGATGCTCTGCTTTCGCCGCTCTATCTCTCTCGCACTCGTGGGTCGTCACTCAACGGTACGAGAGAGACAGAGTGACAAACAGTGCCCGGAATCAGCCTGCAGGACGGCGATGAAGCCGAGCCGTCGGCGCTGACGCGCAGACGTCTGGTGTGTGTTTTACAGTGTCGCGTCCTGTTTTAATCCAAGAAGGTGCTCATTCCGTGCCTAGCGAGGGGTGACGCGGCGCTGCCCTCGCCGCGGCAGTGGCATGGCGGTGGCACAGCAGTGCGGCACCAAGCAAGCCCACGGCACCCCTACCCGTCGCGGTCGGCTGGCGCGCTGAGGTACGGCGGCCCTCCCGCCCTGCCGGCCCTCCCCCGGCAAACCACAACAAATGAAGCACTAAACAATAGGACGACCGCACTGCCGGTAAGGCATGGCGGGGGTGGGGGTGGCTTGCCGTAAAGTCCTTCCCTTCAGAACGCCTCGCGGGCAAACACTGCGCCCGCCGGCCGATTCCGAAACGGTGCTCTCTCTCAAACCTGTACGGAAAACATGAGAGAGCGAGAGAGGCAGAGCGAGGAAAATGAGTCTGAAGCAGAGCAAGCATGGTCCGCCGCCAGGCCCGGCAGTGTGACGGCGCGACGCACAACACGCCGGGACCTGTCGCCGCTCGGCGGGCCGACGCCGGGCCGACGCCACGGCTCTGTGGAGGCGTCCCGTCCCGGTGTGAGGGCAGCGGCAGCAAGCGGCAGCAACGCCGTGGTGGCTCTGTTAGTATTCGTTAGACGATGGTGCGGGCTGTCTCTGCGTGGGAGACCGTGCGACCATGGCCAGCTGGGTGCAACGGTGCGACCGCACGCGAGTGCGCGAGGTAGGCAAACCTCGTAGGCAACCGCAGACTGGTTCCGAAAGTCGTGTCTCTGTGTCTCTATCGCACTCATGGAGCTGTCCGTAAGGGAGCGAGAAGGACAGAGCGACGAACCGTCGGCAGGCAACCCGCGGCGGGCGCGCGCGGGGGCGGAGCAGCCCGCCCAGTGTGGCGGTGGCGTGGCAGCAGGGACGAAGACAGAAGTGCGGCCTGCACGGCGGCCGGTCAGATGCAGTCGGATAAAGTCATTTGGGCGGTGCTTCTAAATTATGCGCATGAGAAACGCATAGAGAACGCTGGCGTGTGTGTATACCAGTGTGTTCCGGTGTGAACACAGCGTCCAGCTGTCCGCGCTGGCAGCATCAGCATGGCATGCTGGCAGGGACTAGGGACTGCCACGAGCCGAAATGACACGACGTATACTGTATAGCGAGGGGTTTGTCCCCAAGACTAGTACATTCCTACGTACCTCCTGCATGAAATTTATCCAGAGGAGCGTTCAAACCACTGCCAGCTCATCTGATAAAAACGCATGCCAAAGTCGATGGGTAGAACAACTAGAAAAAAGGTCCCGGAAAAAGCACGCTAGAGGCGGGTTCCAACTCAAACGCGCACCAAGGGCGCACCCTTTCGTTGTGACGTGGGCGGCGGGGGCCAGGGCGCGCAAGAGCGGCCAGAGCTCGGCACGACACGGCACAGCGGCGAGGCGTCTGGAATTCGAAATAAAAGCACGCGGGCCGGGAAGGGGACACACGTCCAAGGAGGGCCCGTCAAGGAATGTGTTTAAACACGGCGATTCGCACATTGCGGTGCTCGGTGTGGACAAACACACACTCACACACACACACACATATGCGGCGGCAACACAGCGCCCCCAACAAAAGGCGCGGCCGGGAAATTTAGCAAATAAGCCGTCCTCTCCTCCCCGCGCGCACCGCGCGCGAATGCGCTGTTACGCAAACATTCTTGCCGCGAACATGTGTGTGGGTGACGTCACCAACTCCTTGCCCGCTCCACCCGGGCTCCACCCCACACCCGCACCCTCGGCGCTCTGCAAAGTTTGTTCCTTAACACGCATGCACACTCGCACGCACACAAACTACCATCCATAAATGGGGGCGCGCGTACGGCCGGATCGGCCTCAGCCTCAACTTTTTCACGCGCAGTTGTTTCGTTTCCCCTGATATGTTCGGTGTTCGACCCGCCCGGACCGCCTGGCTCGCCCGAGCGCAAACTTGGTCGCGCCTAAATTAATAGGCGCGCTACACGATTGCCAACTTTTGCTTTTACGCAACAGGTGCGCGGCGGAGCCAGGCTGCCAAGGCTGGCCAGGCAGGCGGAGCGCGCAGAAGTGGCAAAACTGCGGAACACGGCGCTCAAGCGACCGGGACGGTGCGGCCAAGAGGATGGTGGTCATGAAGAGACTCGGTTCGCACCCTCACGGGATGACTCATGAGTGCGAGAGAGAGAGAGAGCGATGAGAGCGTCGGAATCGTCTGCAGCAGCGTCATCATCACCGGACTGACTCTGACGGCATTCGAGTGAGCGGCGTTAATCGACTGGGGAAATAACCAACCTGCCCTTGCTCGCGTATTTAATTTCATTCTGCAAAGTGCCCGCCCCCAGCCCACCCCCGGCACGGCCCTGGCCGAGGCCCCGGCCACCCTGGCCCGCCACCCAGGCCAGGGAGGGGAAGGGGGAGGGGAAGGGGGAGGGGCAGGGCATCGCGCTCGTCGCCAGTCACTCGTATTTTGATTTTGATTTTCCCGCTCCCTTCGCACACTCCGCTTCGCAGCTTCGCAGCCGTCCGTCCAATTCGCTGCGAAAGGTGGCCAACTTTGCGGCGTGGCGAGTTCGAGGGGTGACGCGAGGCGGCCAGGCAGGCAGCCAGGCAGGCAGCGCCGCGGGCGTGGCGCGTGTTTCGTGTTCGGGCAGGCAGCGGCAGCAGCGGCAGGCAGCCTGGCTGCAAACTGTGCATGGTTTCCTTCATTACCGCGACACGGTAAAGCTCTCACGGCCGTGCCGCGCCGTGCCGCGTGCCGCTGCCCTGGCCGTGCCGTGGCCATGCCTTTGAGACCAGCGGGGCAGGCGGCTCGGCCTGCCGCGAGGCCCGCCGCCGCCGCCCCCGCCTTCATTAGACGCACTTCGTCACCCCGCCGCCGTTTTCGCCTTCTCGTCCGCCGGTTTTTCGGCAGCCCCTCCCGGCTGCCATCTTGTAGTGCAGTGGCCGCGTCGCCGCGTCGCCCAGGGCGCTTCGCTGGCTTGGCGCTTATTGCCCATCGCCGGCGCCGCCAGCGCGAATCACCGCCGAGCACAAGGTTGCCCGGACGACGGCGGGGCGGCAAGGCGGGGCGGCAAGGCGGGGCTCCATGGCGGCGTGCTCGGCTCGGTGCGCCGCCCCGCAAAAAGCTCGCCCCGAACACGCGTCTAATTGCGCAGACTCCCGCCAAGCTCTAGCGGCAGGGCCGAATGGAATGGGCGAAACGGATGAAAATCGAGGGTCGCGCGCCGTGTGATTCCGGAGGGTCGTTTCGTCGCTCTGTCTCTCTCGCACTCCTGGGGCGTCTCGGAAGGGTGCGAGCGAGACAGAGCGACATCCTTCGTGTAGGCGGCTGTGCGGAGGGCGGGGGTCGGCCACGAGAACATCTTGGTTGGTGAGGGCGAGATGGCGAGATCGCATCGCGAGTTCATCGGGGCAATTCACTCGGAAAGACAAGCAGAACTGCTTGCGCTGCAACACGAGTAAATCTCTCCGCGATTCGGCTGGAAATGGTTGGCCCGGGAACCGCCGGGAACAACAAACACACGCGTGTGCTCCGCCACCGATCCGCCACCCCCGCAGCACTCAATCCGAACGGAGGTTTCGACGCTCTCTGTGTGAAGCGCGTTGCGTGGATTGCAAGGGCAACGCACCCGGTGATGAGGGGCCATCGTGGTGGTATGCCAACCCGCCGAGCAAGAGCTCTGTTTTTCAACGAATGACGTCACACTTGTCTAAACCTGGTGCGTTCGAACGCACCACGCCGCACTGCCGCGCACCCTCGCCGGACTTTCGGCTTTTCACTGCACCCCGTCGGCAAAGATTTGATCAGCGCAGTGCCTCGCCGAGGATGGCCGATACGCGGGCCGATGGCTCTGGGGTCTGGCCCGGGGCTCGCTCTGGGGGCTCTGGAGGGTGCGGCCCGCGGCCGGACAGGCCGGACGACCCCGGCACGCCGAGGCACGCCGAGGCACGCCCCTGCCAGGACAGTTAACGCGGTCATTTAGGCCGGCCGAGCCTGGAGCGGCGGCGCGTGCGCGCACCCCCGACGACGACGACAACATTGCAATCCGCGCCGACCGCCTTGACAGTGGCGAAGCGCGGCACTGCCAGCCACTGCTGAGCTGATGCGAGAAATGACGTGCTCGCAGGGCGCGGTTTTCCCGTTTCAAATTAGCCTTGATTTCCCTGGAGGAGGCGCGCGGCGGGAAGCGCGGAGAGGAGAGGGGGCGGCGGGGGCGGCTCTTGCCGGGGGCCTTGCGGTGTAGTGCCCGCGCGCCAACGCGGCCATCCTCTTTTTCTTCTTCTTCTCGGCGCGGACGGCCAGCTGCCCCTCGCGGTGTGGCCAGTGTAGTGACTCTCCCTCCAGGACACTCGGAAAAATAAAAACAAAGTTTTCGGGCGATAGCGTCGCTGCGATAGACTCTCTGAGATAGCGCGGCCCGCCCCTTGAATCCAGCGGCCTGAGTCGCAGCGCGCCGTGTCCAGTGGGGATGACGTAATGGATGGGCGGCCAAGGG